CCAGTAAAAATAACTTTGAGACATCGCTGTCCAACTTGCAAACAAATTTTCATTAACTATTCCTCTCTTTAAAAATAATATAAAAGTGTCCTTTGGACAACAATAGAAAGTTCTTCAAAAACACTCCTGAAGCATTTATTAGCTCTGCAAAACTTTAACCAAAATTAAGAATGCTTCAGATTTGTAGCATTTTGTGAATTTTTATTATTTTATTTGAATCCAATTTTCTTACCACAATTTTTAATTCCAAGATTCCAATTCCACTGACTTCCTGGGTTACATTCTGGAATTTACCAGAGAATAAAAAATCCCTGTTTCAGGGTTGGGCTGTACAACTTATACACCTTAGAAATATAAAAATAGCTTAGTTAATGATGAACACTTCACACTTACCTCGAAAGAAATACAAAATTGTTAAATACAAAAACTTTAGGCAGATCTGGATTTTGAAATGGAAGCAAATTTGCAATAGCATGTACCCATAACAGGACAGTATCACGTTCCTGGAGTTGAAGTGTTTGCACAAGGAAAGATCACTACATGCTGTTACAATAAATGTATGATGTTCTGAGGAAATCATTAACTCTGAGCACAATAATTTGTGTCTGACCCGTGCTTGCTTGCTGAATAAGATAGGACACTGGCAAGGCAGAACAATGATCAAATCAAGCAACTATGACATGCTGACAGGAAAGATAGAATGTGTGGGAAATAATACAAAAGCTTGTAGAAGTACCATTCTCTCCTGAGTTAGAATTAAATAGTACACAGCAAATTCAAAACACTACCACCACTGTGAGACGTTTTCAGTACCACATTCCATGAAGAAACCCTTAAACTGATTTTTTACCAAGGTCTGATAAGCAATTGTAATAAAAATCCCCAGGTAATTGCACCAATTGCTGCTTTCACAGCAAGAGTACCTTTATTAAACCAAAAGAGAGAAATAAAGAGAATATCGATAAATGTACAGGAGATCTCAACATAGCTCAGGGAGGTCTGAACAAAACCTCCACTGGGTTCAAATCCAGACTTATGCCCATTGTTACCCCAAGAATGGTTCTGCTGGGTTTGGATTTCCCAAAGCAGTTGCCACCGGAATAAAGAGGTCCCTTAGATATGCAGAGAAGCTGAATTTACTCAATTGTTACCTATTGCCTTCCATTGGCATTACAGTTTGAAATTTATTTTGTCCAGAAGGAACTACAACCTTTGACACAACAGTGTGAATGTGCTTGATTTTGAGACATTGAACTTCAGAACCTCATTTTGAGAGCTCAGTATTTACCTCAAAGCCAAAGGCCACTATGAGCTTGTAGGATTTCAGTGTCACCCACTGAAGCTTAACACGGGATGTGATGTTAACTAGATGTCAAATGGGGCATGGGATTTGAGAAACTTTAATGATTTGTTTTATATGTGAGAAACGCAAGGGCTTTTAAAAGGCTCAATAATGAATATCAGGAGAAGTTCTATGTCCCAAATAAATTGGACTAATTTGAATGAAAGTGAAGTTTCATTTTCTTTCACAAGCCATCTGTACTAGAATGGGGATCGATCTAAAGCCTATGTTCATTTCTCTTATCGTGCACGTCATTAACTTACCACTCCAATTTCATTAACTTTCTTGTTTTGTCTGATGAAACTCAAACCTTCACTTTTATTAAAGGCGTAACTTGATCTGTCCAACCTGAAAGAGAGACTGACACTTCTTTAGAGTTCACTGTAAAAGTTTCAATGAAACGGTGGGTCCATAAAACACTTTTGAACGTAAAGTGTAAAGCAAGCAGACGGAAAGTTTGGATTTTAGAGTGCGTGTGAGATGAGGGACACATTTTATTGTTTCAAAGAACTTTATTGTCTGTCCGCTGTGAAAA